AGAAACAATTCCAATAATATTTGCATCCTGGGAATTTTAGAGTCTCAGAATAAGAATAAAAAGTAGAAGCCAAGACTACCTATGTTTACATTCATACTTTCAAGACTAAAAAAAAAAATTAATCCTCAGTCAAAGCCACTTCAAAGTAGTATGGGAAGTGAGTAGTTTTAATAAAAGGATAATTATGTAATCTCTGAAAATCTATGCAAACAACTGCTATGATCTCCATCCAAACTATTTCTTATCTTCCACCAGTAAAGAACTGTTGCAGTCTTAAAGATACAATATCAATTGTGCAATATCTCTGTTGTGATTCAGAAAGCCTTCAGCTCAAGGTTTGTACTTCTTTATTCTCTTGCTAAGGAAAAGATTCAGACCTTTATCCAAAACTTAATTTAGAAATTACTTAATCTGTAAAAATGTACTTTGAATTTCCCCATTGTTAAACAAACTGTTCAGTTGGAAAGCTAGTGTCTGAAAACTYTGGGTTTTTTAATAAAAAAAATTACTTTATAAATTTATCAGCAGCTCCTCCCACAAACACAGGTCAAAATAGAGGTATATGGGTCCCCATAGTAACTGCCAGTGGTAGATTTTGTGATCTTACAGAGTGTCTATTTGCAGGGAGTAAATGTAACTGAAAACCTAGAAAAGCTCACTTTGGGACAGAGAGGCGGGTTGTACTTTAGAAATCAAACCCGCCATCTATTCCAAGATTTACAGGTGTCCTCTATCTCAAAAACAGCTTGTAGCACAACCAGATATTTAAAAATTGCAGGTATTTAAGTTTACTGAAACTTAAAGTGGACTGGACCTTGTTTTTAGGTCCATCTATATTAAAAAAACAAGAAAGCAAAAGGCTTGCTCTGTGTAAGCTTTCCATTTTTTCTCTCCTTCTCATTTTTATGTCCTTCAAAAATTCTCATAATATTATCTAGCCATGATGGAAGTACCAAATCAGATTATGTTGTAAACTGTCGTCCAATAATAAGCATTATGTCAACTAACCTTCTCAGAGGGAAAAGCTAAACCAAAGCAGTTTCTGTTCAATCCTGTATCTCTACCCAGCTCAGGTTAAATTCATCACAGACTTTCAGCAGGCAGACTTCCAGAAGTGTCCTAATTTATTTAAGTTAATCTAAAAATTAACCTTCTGATATGATTTGGCATTACTGGAAGAAGTTTATTTCATGTTTTGTAATCAAAGAACAATGATTTTCAACAGCTTATTTTCAGATTAAGTCATTCAGCAGCAGCATTTATTTTTAAATATTATTTTATTATTTATGTTTTAAAAATGCCTTCAGTTCCCCTAACCATGGCATAGAATCATAGAATCACAGAATGCTTAAGGTTGGAAGGGACCTCAGAGGTCATTTAGTCCAACTGCCCTGCTCACGCAGGGTCACCCAGAGCACGTGGCACAGGGCTGCGTCCAAGTGGGTTTTAAAGATCTCCAAAGAAGAAGACTCCACAACCTCTCTGGGCAGCCCATCCCAGTGCTCTGTCACCCTCACTGTTAAGAATTTTTTCTCTTAAATTCCCGTGGAATTTTTGGTGCCTCAACTTGTGGCCGTTTCCTCTAGTCCTATCGCTGGTCACCACTGAAAAGAGGCYRCCCCCCTCCTCCTCACTGCCTCCCTTGAGGTATTTATACAYKCTGATCAGGTCCCCCCTCAGCCTCCTCTTCTCCAGGCTGAACAGRCCCAGCTCTCTCAGCCTTTGCTCAYAGGGCAGATGTTCCAGGCCTCTGATCATCCTGGTAGCCCTGCGCTGGACTCTCTCCAGCAGCTCCACATCCCTCTTKTMCTGGGGARCCCAGAACTGGACACAGTCTCCAGATGTAGCCTCACYAGGGCTGTGTAGAGGGGAAKTCTGAGTGTATAATTTATGRAAAGRAGAACACCATTTTACTGTCTATCTTGTGGAAGATTTTCTTGATTCTAATAAAATATATGCACATCCAACCAAGTCACAAACAGACATTCTCAAAATACCATATGATTTAGYCATATTTTGCAATCTCTCATCTCCTGTTTTCATACCCAAGTGGTATCTCAGTTTCGACAATCTGACCTTCTATACACATACTTTGCTAAGGTCATGCTGGTCCTCATTTAAGTGTTATCTGGGAATCCTTAATTTCTTAATTTCTTACCTTTTATTAGTGGAAAATAGCTTTCAGTGTTACAGGCTTCTCCTTTCTATCTACCACTAGTTATTTTGTATGCTTCTGTAACATCCTCCTGCATACTTTCTTAATATAAAGAGAGAAAGAATGTTTGTTTTTTCTTCTCTCATGTGAAAGTTATTCCAGGTGCCTAATTACTTCCATTGCCCTATCCTCTTTTGGACTACTTTGGTTTCTGCTATATGCCCTATGAATTTAGGCTACCAAGGCTTAATTCATCTTAAAACAAAAGAGGTGTCATTGATTTATGTATCATATTTTGTTATTCTCTGTCTTGCAAAAAAATATTCTCACAGTGTAGCTTACATTTTGAACATAAGTTCACACATAAATACTTGTGCTAAATTATCTAACCTACTTTACTACTTTTTTGTGTGTGTGTTTATAGCAGTTTCATTTCTACTTCCCAGCCTGTGCACTCTTCCATTTTCAACATGGACTAAACCTGTAGAAATTTTCAGCAAAACCAAATGTTTTATCTTTTACTAGAGTGCTCTTGAACTACAGAATAATATTACTATTTTAATCTGCCTTGCCTCTTTTTCAACTGAAAAACTATCTGCTAAAAATATTGGTCAGAGTGTTAAGTAAGCAGCAAGAGAAAGCATTTCTGCAATTATTTTAATCAAACAGAATGGCATCCAAGGAGAATTCTAAACATATTAATATGCAAAAGAACTAGAGTCAAAAATTGTGTTGCATTTAGGCTACTAAATTTATATTTAGGCATTTAATTGTGCTGATTTTTTTTTTTTTTTGACAATTAATCAGAATTAAAGCAGTGCTGAAAAATTTCCAGGCACCTGAATTTGGATTCAAAAGCCCAACTTTAAACTACCACTTTTCACAGCCATTATAAGAAGCATCTGATAAATGAAACTAAGTTTAGGAAAACTTTTTTTTTCTTCTCCTTTGAATCAAATTCAAGATGATTATAAAAATCTGTTTTTAACCTTAAAAAGAACTTGCAGTATATTTCTGTCTGAGAATAATATATCTTTCACATTKATATTAATTTTAAAATGCTCCTGAGCTCTATTAGGACACCCGGAACAAAACTTAGCCAGGTTTCTTTGCCAAAAGGCCATAAAACATCTTAGAGGATCTGCATTGCTTCACAAGATTTCTCTGTCAGTCTGAGAACAGTCTACTATGAACAATGTTATTTAATTCAAAATGCTGGGGAACTGCATAGCAGAATAAGCAGAAGGGAACACTTAGAACAGACATGAGAAAAAAAAGTGGTCTGTCAATGAGGGCTGGAATATGCAACACTTCCAAATGTAGAGCAGGAATCCCAGTCACTGGAGCAATTCACTTTTCAGCCACACAAGTTGTATGGGAATATATATTAGAGAACAAGCCCACACTGCCTGGAAATGGTGAGTCTGAATGATCTAGTATGTCCTTCTGCCTCTTAAACCCAGTATTAAATAATGATGTAGGTGATGAGAGTTTTTTCATTGTTATTCATTAAAAAGCAGTCATTTAAGGCACTTAGAGCTCTAGAATTACAGTGGACAAATGTGCTGGGCTCTTTGGAGTGCCAGTATTAATTGCACATAGGCCTCTCTCATCTGCACTTCCACACTCACCAAATAAGCAGGACAACCTGCATATCTACTAGTTTCTCTCTCTTTGCCCTGTAGCCTTCCTCAAAAGGGTTTCTCACGATATCTTCCCAGATGGATCACAGTTTTCTCAACTTAGTTTCTGATTTGCCCTAACAGTAATTTTAACCCTGTATGAACCATACCAGACATGCGTTCACCCTGTTAGCTGCTATTTTTGGTCTATGCCTTTTCTTTGACGTCCTTTGGCCCTTTTGCCATTACTCATTCACACTTTACAGCGTCCCACTTTCATGCCTCAGAGTGGTCTCCATATACCACGTTTCATACATTTTGTGAGACATTTTGCAGTGTCACTAGCATTTGAAAGATAAAATTCCATCTACATTTCTTTCTCAACAAATCTTCAAGAAACACGTTTACTCACAAAAGTAACTTCTGGAAAAGGGCTTTTAAAAATATGTGTATATATATAWAAAACATACTTTTAAAACATATTAACATGTAGACAGCTATGACTCTTTTGACTTTCATTACACAGTTTATTAATTGCCCTTGATTTGTTTCCCCCATCTTCAAAGAAATATCATTTCTGTATTTCCTTGTAGTGTCCTAACATGCTCTGAAAACAAATAAACAAATCTAGCAAGGTAGAAGAGAGAAAAATGATCCCTTGTTACAAATAAAAACTAATTTAAGAAATGAGTTACCTCACAATTCTAGATGGCTACAGCACCATAAACGCCTGCATCTGAAATCATTACTTTGTAATCCATATACATGTATAAAATGCCATGTTATTTTTGTCCATTTAGAGCCCATTTTTCTCCATTGATTATACAGAAAGTCTTAGGTAACTCAGAGACAAACATCTTTAAAATAAATGCCCACATTTGGTCAGATTGCTGCCAACAGAAGGAGACTCACGCTCAGAGAAATAAGCACAGATAGTCTGAAGCCAATGGTGTTGTGAGGGCCTACATCAGTTAAAGTCATGCTACAACATCTCAATACCATTCAAGTCAAAAAACCTTCAAATGTGACTGTTAGTAAAAGAGTCAGTCTTAGCTCTGCATGAATCTTGCTTTGATTTCTCAGGTCTCAACAGCTCCTTTGTCCTCAATTATAATGTACTTTTCTGTTTTGGAATAGGTTCATCATGCCTCTTCAAAAACACAGCACTTACTTCAGAAGGAATTTACTACTCCTTTTAATGTTTTATAATGCTGCTTTCTTACCTCCTTCCTTGGAGCAGAGGCTGATTAGAGTATGAACTGTATCCATCAATTCAAGTTGCTGTTTCTGCAGGACACTGTTGTTGCTTGTTGCTTTGTTTAATTGCTTCTCAAGTTCCTGGATTATATGGCTTTGGCGAGTAACCAAGCTTTGCAGGTTCTCTTTTTCCTCTTTCAAAGTGTCTAATTCCTCCTTATGCCTTTCTTCCATTTCTAGTATTTTGTGCTCAAATAAGCTGAAATAAAGTAAAACAATTAATCATTTTGTGTCAACATATTTACTAATACAGAAAAGAGGTATTTTTTTTCAACACAGAACTCAGTACATAAATCATCTATTCCAACACTGTCAAAATGAATAGTCAATTGATGCACTCTATCAGGTACCCAAGCATAACAAATCTCTAAGGCTCCATTTTGTAAAATTTTTGTGCTATAGTTTATGCAGACAAGCCTACAATAGAACAGGACATTGAAGAGAATGTTACCGATAGTATGGCTGGGTCAATATGATAAGAGACAAAAGTCAGTGTTAAAGAAGAATTTGTAAAGAGCCTTGAAACTGAAGAAAGAAGATAAATATTAGGAAATATGGAATTCCATCAAGGGATCCTGATAAAATCCAGATAAAAATCATCCTTTCATTTGGTTTGTGAAGCTGGGAAAGCAGCTGCACACCAGGTAAGTGGTATCTGTTTTCATATTAAGAATAGTACTGTTTGCTCAGAAGATAAATCAGACATCTGCATTTTTAAGGAACTAGTGCTTCCTCTGAAGCCATATAGATCCTCTATCCCCTCTTTTCCAGTTCCACAAAAGGCTCCTCAGTAAAAAAGACAGAGAGAGAGAGAGAGAAAGCAAGTATAATAGTATAATAGACTTTCTTTCACTATTGTTATGAATTATTTTATACATTTCATACTTGCATGCAAACACTTTCTCCTGACTAATACATTTTTTCCTAGCACCGTCTCTGCCCTGAGTCAAAACTGTACAATTTAAAGAGATCAAAGGCATGTTTGATTATATATACAAGATTAGAAGGATTAGAAGAACTGTAGTCACAAAATAATATATGTCACCACTGAACGAGAATTTTTTTTCTGGCCAGTGCTTTAATGCTACAGTGGGAATTYGTCAGAAAAAAWATATATATATATTATTAAAGAAATGAATTAATTCTCTCTGCTAGCTTTTCAGTAATTCCACTGTATATGCCCGAAGAGGTGCCTTTCATACCCATAGACGAACTGTTGATTACAAACTTGCCAAAAAAACTCTTGCCTGCATAATTTCAGRTCATTTAACCTAACTAAAGAATGCAATAAAACCCATATGGAGTTGTTTCTAGAAGATATCATAGAGACTTAATATGAACTGCTACAAATGATAACAATGCAAAGATTGAATTTAGGTCCTGGATTTGCTTCAAAAGCTGGAGTTTTATATAACTTTTTTTTTTTTAAGTAAAAGATAGGTAAACCAAACATCAAATCACTTTTTTTCTGAAACATTATAAATGTGGGAGATTCAGAGCCACAGAAGAAAATACACTCCGCAAGATCAACATATCCAATTCTGTGAAAAGCCAGAACAATCTGGCTAAGGAGGGAAAAAATAAAAAGAGGAAAAGATAGGAAGGCAGAGAACTTTCTCTTGAGGTCAGTTTCTTTCCCAAATAAAAGGGGGAACATAATATCATTTTCCAAAGGACTCATTAATTAGTTACAAAGGCATAACAAGTTTCAGTTGATTCAAAATTGACCATAGAAAATTTGAATTTGAATTTCAAACAAAGTAGAGATTTTATAACTGACGGTAATAAGCTGTTTTAACACCTTATCAGACTCTTAGTTGATTTATTTCATCCCTTGAGCTCTTTCATTAAAAAAGATACACTTACACTCTAGATCATTAGGCTGATTTATTATGATCATTATCTGGAAGTTGTTGTACTGTATTATGCAGAATGTCAGACTAAATAATGTTGAACTAGCTGAAAAGATTCTGATGGAGTTATTTCCATCATAAACCACTGTTCATCAAAATCCAAATACTCAATGGAAATTTTATCTATTCCATCAACCTCTTCATGGCAATTATTAAAATCTAAAGTCCAAACAAGCATTTCAACTTTTCTGATAATCAGGAATATAAATGAATTTTGGACAAGAACAAGGTGGACACTGTGCAAGTTCTTGCAGATCTGGCCATGTATCAGTTTGACATCTTACGGTCCATCAGAAGTTTTGCTTATTTTCAGCATAAATGAAAGTGCCATTCCTAAAGTCAGAACATTGCTTTTCTATGAAGCGGCAAGGAAAGACTAAAGAAGCTCCCTATATCTTCATCCCTATCACAGTGTAGTGTGGAACTATTCTCTGACTTTATAACATCCTATCCACATGTCCACATCTGAATGACTTTATGTTTAAGAAAGAGCTTGGCCAGCCCAAATACAGGCATTGTTTCCCACTATACTCTTAAGACCCAAATAAATGAAGCCATGGTGATGACAGTCTTATTTGTAGCAACATTGGTCACAAGAAGCCAGAAAGAAGAGGCTAACAATGTTTAGAGCTTCCCTGTTTGGCATGTACCGAGAGAGACAGCAAGCAGATGTTTTATGGCTCTAGCAATAATACATCCTAATATTTACGAGTGTTGTATCAACAACATGTGGTAGAAAGATGAGGGTATAACAGCACTTGGTTACTTCAGTTTTCTAAGTAGATTAAATGTCATTATAAATTGCAAAACTAAGCTATTTTAAAGAATGGACATGCATTTCTGCAGCAATCTTTCCATGGATATACAACACACAAATCTACAACAARTAAGAAGAACTCATGATAAGATCACTCTTTATATCCATCTGAGAAATCCATAACAACTACATTTCATTTTCTTTTACTAAGAATCAATGAGAAACCTTTGCTCAAAAGGAACAAAAGTGAAAAATTCACATATGGTAGAGTCTTCTGCACTGGCCTGTTCCTGAAGGATGACACTCTTAAATAGCATGAGACAAGCCACTCGTTTGACCTTTGACTCCAACGTGATCAGGATTTTCATATGTACTGTATTTACAGTTCATCTAGACATATACATATATGTATATGAATCTGACCTTTATTTTTTTTCCTAGGGAAAATTTTCCCATTCGATTTTGAAACCAATTGTGGAGATATTTAGACATTTTAGGAGTTGCTGGACCACTCTTCTTCCCCTTCAAACAATTTCTAAGAACGAAGTACCATGAAAAAAAAAATTCCTAAATGTTTTGGTAAAGGTATTTAATAAAATCTTTAAAGAGGTTCTATCAAGATGCATTTAAAATGAAATATTTCTACTGGCTTTTAGAAATTAGCACTGCTGGTATAAGAAGTTGTACAAGACAGTAAAAAGGCTTTCTCCATACTAATTAATCAAGCAATCTGTGAGTGTTGAGTGAAACTGTTATATAACTTTATAAGAATTTTTAGCAAAATGGCATGGTAATGATGTAATGACTAGCTGCTTTTTACTGCAAGTTTACTGTATTATTTTCCTATATATCTGAAAACATTGCTGATCTAGACAGATAAAGCAATCTAGGAAACTGAAATGTGCACAATAAAAAAAAAATCCTGTTTGCTATAATTAACTCTCTACATGTATATACACAGAGACACGTAATAGGTGCATGTATTTATATAAATGCACCCTGCGCTTTGAAGGACAGTTAAGACATTCTGGGAACAGAATGAAGYTGTGAAGAAGTAAACGTTATTGTTAGGTTCTTGTTTAAAAGTCATTTACACTAGGGGAAGAGGGGAGAAAWGAGAGAAAGAGAGAAAKAAAGGAAAAAAAATACTACCCTATTTTCTTAACCAGTAATCATACCTTTCTGCCTAGCCCAYTGACCTTAGTGAGGCCAGAAATCTAGAGTCTATTTTCAACTAGACAAGAGGAGTGTTAAGTTTGTCAGGACATAAGCCAGGGAGACATCTCAGTGCAATTTACATTGCACGAAAGCTTATGCACAAGAGGTCCTCCAATAAATGAAGCAGGAGAAAGTATACCTGGCCCTGGTATACGGCCAGGATAGACATCAAAGTACAGCTGGGAGGGAAAGCTGCTGTCATTTTGAAAGGTGATGGAGTAGAACATGTAGAAAGTACTTTTTTAACTCTCTACGGAGGAARGAAAGCTTGATTTGGACAATCTCCCTTATAAGGCATGTAGTTTATTCACTAATCCATTCCAGACAGTGGAAGTTTCAGATTTTTTTTTAATCTTTTTTTCAGAGGCCTCAGTTTAGACTGTTGGGAACAGGATATAGACCAGATCCTGGAGAGGGACTTCTTTCGCATGAAAACATTTCGCATGAAAAGTAATGTCACACAAGAAAAAAGGCCTTGGCCATATAGATTTGTTTTTCTTGTATTATGTATGCATGGGAAGACAAACAGGTAGAGGATTTAAAGGCTTACTTTTGAGTGCAAAAGTGCTATTTTCTCATTGAGACAGCTGCTTTGTAGTTGCTTTTCCAATAGTGAAACTTTCTCTGTATTGTCAGGTGTTGACTACTCTAACTTAAGTAGGTGGTCTGAAAGGTTTGAGAAGGTGTCCTCATAACTCTTAAGGATTTTCAAGTTCCTGATCTTAAGTCTCCTCACTGCTCAGTCTCACTAAGGCTGTTTTTTTATACCAGTGATAAGAGTAGTCATTGAAATAAAAAAGGTGAGGTKAAAAATCTATATTCATTTTTGGTATATGCAAATTTTTCATGTGAAATATGAAAATTCTTACATGCTTTTTTCCTCTTGTTTTTCACACAGTCAAGCAGAAATTCAAAAGTCTTCCTGCATCATTTACTTCCATATGATAAAGTGTTTTATACTGACCAAATTGGCCCATATTGGCCCAGTTTAATTTTCTATAAACACAAGTTGGATTATAAGTTTAAATCTGATGGAGGATGCATATTTACATTACATTTATCCTCTTTTGTTTTATGAAAAGAAAAARGTTGCTGTCTCACTTGCATATTGAAACAAACAGCACACAATTAGTTAAATGCAGCTGTTATACTTAAGAAAAAAATGCTCAGGAAGACACTTAAGCAAGGAAATCTTTCAATAATAAATTACAGTAGTTTTTAAAAACCTCTTGTGGGAAAAAAACGSCAATAGAGGAAACCACCATTTACAGTATAGTGGGTGGGAACCCACAAGACTAAATTATTTATGGCATGAAAGCACGCAGYAGAAACAAGATTCTGGGGCAAATGTGACTCCACTTATATGCCATGGAATATCGTTCACTGCAGTGGGATAAAAAGAAAAATAATTGGTCACTATTCCCAGCAGAGGCAGGAAGTAAAGAGTATTGGGCCAAGAATAGTTAAATTTCTAGTCTAAAGAGCTTACATTGGTCCCCTGTTGATAGTCAGTGTTCATTTTCTTTCTACATCAACAGTGACTTATTATTACTATTTTGTATTTCTTTTATCCAGAAACTAGTTTTCTGAAAGTCATTAAGATCATGATCACAGAAGACATTGAAGAACAGAGAAATTAATGATCTGCCCATAGAACACTATCTGTTCTGATAATTTTTGGATTATAATAATAACATCATTTTCCACTGTGATAGACACCTAATGTAAAAGAAACACGTTTTTCAAAAAAATTTTACAGACCATGTGGTCAATATAGATAGACTTTTCCCTATTTTATTGAAGGGAAGTGATCTATATAGTGATGAAGAGCTTCAAGCTGAACATTGCCTAATGGGGAGCCTATAAGTGCTGTTAAAGATAAGCCAAAACATTGACATGTTCAGTTTACTAATACCTCACAAGATCAAAGACTTGTCCTGTATTAAGCTTGACACATTCATACACAATTTTATGATCAGGATCTAAAAGGCCAGGATTATGAGGTATTTGTCAGACTTAGATGATGGTACAGAAGCTAATGATTCATATTCTAGTGTAGTTATAACACTAACCTCTCTCTATCTAACTCTCAAGGAAAGAGTTAGCAACTGAACCTGGAAAGTGTGTATCAGATCTTTACTTAATTCTCCTTGTAGTTATTTTTTCTCCTGTTTATTCACTAACAAAAACAAGAGTGTAAAATGTTGCTTTTTAACATACTTTTTTGTGCTTTTATTTTTCCCCCTTAAAGACCAATCCAGACCATTTTGTCATGTCACAGACCATTTCATCAAAATGTCAGTCAAGCCAAAGGTCAGTTCAAGTCAAATATATTTGCTGACATAAGGCTTTACACTCTGACACATTGCTAAGATCAATAAATAAATAATGGCTATTAAGTACACAAGACATCACATAAATGACTCAGTCTCTTGAACACTATCAATACATTTCTGTTGGGAACCAGATTGAAGAAGATAAAAATGCAAGTATTTACTTACATTGAAAGAAAAAATAATGTTTGGGTTACTCTCACACTGAAATAGGTACATAAAACAAGCAGAAATAAACAGCCTCCTGGATATGTCTACTCTGTCCAGTCACTACAAGGGTAGCTTGGACATGCTGTTTTGATGAATTGCTGAACTTGTAGAAATCAGTGTTAATGCCACAGTAATTTATTCATAGTAACCTAYCCATATTTTCAGTTGCTCAAGAAATGTATAGAGATCAACAGTATTCAGCATGATCTAACTTCTCCAGAATAACATTTGATGTAGTTCCTGGTTGTAGACAGTCGTTAAATTGAATAGTCAGTTCTCATAACCACTAACTCAAATGGTAAATTATCTGACCAGCTTTGCAGTTTAATAACAAATTACAAATACATCTTCTTGTGACATTTTCTGTTCTTTATCATTATTTATCTATTTATTTATTTATTTKGCCTTCTATCTCCGATAGCTTCTCACCCATGATGCTATGGTGTTGTTATTCCCTTTGTATAAAACACAGTTTTATTTTTACTGACTCAATTTCTGCTGCAGGAGCAGAACCATGGTACACTTCTCAGTCACTCATCTGACCTGAGTTTAAGCCATAGACTGGGCCTTCAATAGACCACTTCAGTGACTACTTCACTTTTAATATCATATGTTCTATATCCATGTTGAGTACAGCAAAACTAGAAACCTTAGTTCTAGCTTGTTTGGATGGTTAAGGTGTTCTGTCACTCAGGGCACGGGCTGCAGTGAGCCCCGATTTAGGAGCTAAACTATGTGCTAGTCCACACATGTGGGAGTCTCGGGAAAGCTGAGCCCAAGGAAGGCGTAGGATGGCCAAGGAACTACAGTGTGGAACAGCAGCACACTGAAACTTCTTGGCCTCACTTTGTAGCTTGATGAGCTATTTATTGCTAAACAATATATATATATTTTATTTTTCAACTTCAGCATCAAAACCAAGTGTATATTACTCTCATCTTTAAATGGGGCATAGCTCCATGTGTGCATTATCTTATGAAATATTACACTCCAAAAAAGAAATGCATCCTTCTACAGGATCTTTATGTCCATTAGCACAAGAAAGATTACCCTCAAAATATTTTCTTATTTTTATATATTTGAAATTAGCCAGTAATCTCATAATTTATTCTTAATGTTGTCTGTTTCAAAATGCTTATACAAGTTATCTTCATATCTTTCAGTAACAGGAGCTGCGGAAATAAGACTACATAGCCATGAAGCATAGATGCAAAATTACATTGCATATGAGCATATGAGAAAGCATTAAAAGAAAAATCTACTTGCATTTATCATACTGTGGTTGACAGTGTCAGTGCACACCTTTGTAGCAGGAAAACAGGTATTACCTAGATTTTGCCCTTACCATCTTAGCTTCCTCCAGTTCAGTAAGAGATTAAAATAAGGTGTGCAGAGACCACTTTGATGTGAACAGAAAAAGAACTTGAGATCACTACCTATTCTTACCTGTTTTTCTCATGAATCTTGAGGATTTCATGTGTCTGTTGTAGTAACTGTTTTTCTAGCTTGTACGTAGATAGCGAGTTTTCTAGTAGCTGAATTTCAAGTCTGGATGTTTGATTTAGCACCTTAGTGATAAATTAAATAAAAAAGAAAAAGACAATGTTTACATAGAGCTGATTTGATGATTTCTGAGAGAAAAAAAGAAAAAAATAACTGATTTCTAACACCTTTCCTAGCCTCAGCTACTCATATAGCAATGAACTCAGTTAAGCCACATCTACCAGCTGATACGCTGGCACACTATTTGTTTCCGAATAACATTAGGTCATTAGAAGAAGGGAAGGTGATTGCTAAATATGTTTTACTGCAATTGGAAGAACAAGAGGCACGCCTCAAACATTCCTACAAAACGTGCTTCAATCAAGAGAGTGCTAGAGTAGTTGCTCTGAAGCCAAAGTGTTGCATCCACTGTTTTGTAAATAGAGCTCTTACTATGGCTTTCCCTTGAGATCTGTCTTTTGCAGTGTTGGCAGAAGCCTGGTGTCTGCTTATGTTATCGCTACTCTCACTCTTACACAGATTTTTAAGATGAAGGTTGTGTTTCTTTACATTGCAGCTCCTTTATGGAGCTGTTTTTTAACCTTAGTGGTGCTCTGTGTCAATAGCACAAGGCCTTAATATGCACAATGGACTGAAACAWGCCTTACAGCTAACCAAATACAACCAATTCTAATAAAAAGTAGTTCAAAAGTTAACATAATAGTCAAGAAAGTTAATGATTATTTATTTTATTGGTATAGCATCTTTTATTACATAGGGTCCTGARAAGTGTATATAAATACTTTTATAGGTACTTCTGCACACAAAAGYTGAGATGCAATCAATTGGACATGATGCTTTTTTAACAGAATCTGTGAGCCCTCCTTGGCTGTTATCCCTGTCATCATAGGATAATAGGGTAATAATTTCTTATTACATGCCTCATGGTACTGGAGGAGGTAAAAACTTTGGCACTCAAATTCAATTTAAGCAAATGTTTTCCTGAAGTTCTCGACACTCATTCAGAGATTTGTTCTTTCTAAAGGGTACAGAGATTTAAAAAGTTGGAGTTGATCCATATGAATCATTTTTTGTTGTCAGAGATGGGCATATTCAGATGGGGAAGGAGGCACCACTGAAATATGAGAGAGATCTGGAAGAAGGTGATGAAGGAATTGATTAATGGTTTGCATGGCATAAAGAGACAGGCACCAATAATTCTCCAAAGGATATATCTATGAAGCAAACTACAAAACATCAATAGAGTTTCAAATAGAGAAGGGAACCTAAAGTGAACTSGTTAGGTTTTGGAGGGGTATGGACTTGGGAGGAGTCTGTGATATTTCAAGGAGCTGAAGGCTCTATATGTTCTGTACTTTCCTCCTTTCTCAGGTGTGCAGGAACACCCTCACTGTTATTTCTACTCATTACTACAGGTATGAGATCCTGGCCTGCCCTTTTCCTCCTTGCATCCTACTGACTTTCATCTCTCTGCTATGCTCTGGCTTCCTCCATCACTGCCAACAGCAGCCTCTATTCACTTTACTGAGCCACCTGCACAACTTTTCTGATTGCTAAAAACCCAGGAACTGCAGGGATTTTTGCTGAGGGACTAGAGGTGGAAAATGCTGCCACAGAGCTGGAATAGCCATTGATCTACATTGCACTGGCAGGATGTGGATGAGTCAGAGCAAGGACTGCCGCAGGGAAGATCTCCCACTTGAGAATTCTTTAAAGCTTTCAGTAATAGCTGGAGAAGGAGGGAGCTCTCCATTCTCTTGCGTAGCCACCAGCATTACTTCTATTTTTTACTGATTCCTCAGGGGAAGAATTGAGACACAGGTAACACATGTTTTGTCTTTTACCTACTTGTGTCAGGAAATAGCAAATGAACATATGTCACTTTAACTAAGTAGGTCTGTTGGGGTATAAAGGAAACATCCTGTATCTGATTTTCCTTGATAAGTATATGATACTATGGTCTTCATTTAATTATTCTGCCTACATTTAATTATTCTGTTAATACTGGAAAAGATAAACTCTAACATTTTCATGAATCAATACATCATCTTTTGGAAATGGACATTTGAGCTCACAACTTTTATTAGTACATGGTGGTGCTAATTAGTACTATTAATCATACTGTAGAAAATCAAAGGTACATGTAAGACAGTGCAGCAACAGCTTTTGTCTATAATTTCTAGATAGACTTAGTGAGAACACCTCTATTTTTTCATAATTGCTATTGTTCCTTAWTGCAATGGAATGCAATTATGTAATAATTCAGCAATGATATTTTAAATATTGATGTTAGGACAGACAATACAATCTTTCAGGAAGTGCCTGATAGTGTACTAGAATAGACAAAATAAATGACAGGAATTCACTTATTTTAAATGAACAATGAATTCACTTCACTTGGTAAGTAGGTGCTGCTACAAAGATCAAGAGGAAGCCAGCAGTAATAAGGAAAACAAATGTATGTTTTATAAGCWGACAGAATAAGTCAAAAGGCAAAAAGGCATATATATCTCAGTACAATAAGAAAGAGTCCAGTACAAAATTGTACTTTGTTATAATATTGATACCTTTATCTTTTGAATCATGACAATGATTTTTGTGCTAGGAATCACATGGAGCTAGTTCTTTAAATTCTAGAGGTATAACAAAGAGCACTTAAATTAAGTGCTCTTTTTGCAGGATAAAAGCTGCAGAACTACACTACTTTTCAAGTAGCTGGAAACTTTTTGCAGATAACAATACGAAGGTAAAAATAAGGTAGATCAAAGGCTCTATTTTTTGCCTGAAATTAGCTTGACATTTGTATGATTCACAGTGGGTAGCTGGACTATATTTGAAATTAAAACCTGGTTTAGTTTCCTGACCAGTTCAGCCTGCCTTACGTGTGTAGAGCTAAATACACTGCCCAGATGAAATCAAAAGAAAAACACCTAACCAGAGTCAACCACCACTGCTGTTGTTACCAATAAGCAGGAAGTGTGTCTGCTTCTTGGAGTCGGGCCCCGTCTAACGCCCATCTAACACCCCATGTTAGAAATGAAAGAGAATGAGAAAGGTTCTCTGCAGTCAATTCTCTGCTTTTTGCAGATCACTCTGTGAACTTACCTGGGTTTCAACATCAGTGAGTTTTCTCGTCTGCTCTGCTGTCTGGCTGAGGAGGCTGGTTCCTATCTCGAGCATGGTGGCTGTGTGGTTCTGCACRGCGTTCTGCTGCAGCTGGGCCATCTCTGATTTCATGTTCTCCACAATGTAGTTCTCAAGCTGTAGAAGAAGAGAAGCTGTAACTTTAGCATTTTAGAGCAAAACTTAGGCATTCTCATTTCATTGGCATACATTGTTGGGAATCTTGCCAGAAGAGGAAATTTCAACTCTTTTGGGACATTCCATGTCTAAATAGTCCTTGTGACTGTGGGGGAAGGGAGTTGACTGTCCAGGGGGGGCTCCTTTCAGTCACCAAGTCATGATGATTTCCCAAGTATCATAGCCATATGGCATGAGAATGGAATGATCCCACTACCCTGATGTATATCAAGGATTTGGTGAATATCTGAAAGTAAAGACGCATGAGTAGCTCCAATACCCCCCAACATGCCCCCCACCCTAACAAAAAAAAAAAAAAAAAAAAAAAAACCAACAAAAAAGGAACATAGTTCACCACAGGAAAACTTCAGGTCTTACATGTAAATGCTGACTTACACCTGAGTCCCTCCTGGAGGAACATGAGTCCCTCCTCATTTCCTGTCTCATTCGGGTGTGCTGTCTCACTGCCATTTAGCTGTGGGTTTTTCTCAGCTCAAATTTTCATGAACGCAGCTTAGTCTAAAACTCAAAAATTATAACAAAGTGACAACATTGTAATGGGAGAAACAGAAGAAAATTAATGATCAGAAATGATCAMTATAGAAAGCTTTCCTGCCTTTATTTTATTGTCTTGTTTGACTTGCATTTACAGTCTGTTGAACAAAATCTGAATAAGGGTCTTCTAAATAACCTGGGTTTCATCATTCATTTTTGTTTTCATCTATTTTATTTAACATAGGCTGGGTTCTACCTAGATGCTGGCCCTGACACAAAAGGTTGGGGCCAATATTGAGCCCAATATGAATCTAGAATATGATGGCCTATTTATAAGATCACCATTCTGGCATCTTGCTTGATGTGCTCTGCAAAATCCAAATGAAGCCCAGAACATATGTTTCAATATATTTATCTGAAACCAGCTGGAGCCAAGCCAATTTACACCCAGGGTCAATTTGGTCCTCAGTTTGAATTTGTGGCTGATCATATATTTCCTTTTTTTATGGACAGGTGATTCCAGACTTAAGCAATCACTGCTTTACCTAGTAATTCATTTTTAATCAAGTTGGGCCAGCTTCTGTAACAGCAGCCATGTTTCACCGTGAAAGGTAAGCCTTTCTGTACAGTAAGAACCACATGGAGTTGATTTAAAGACTGCGGAAAGGAGCAGGAGTTATATATACAATGTGTGATTAATAAGAAAAGTCACTTTCATCTTATCTATAAACATTCCTGTGCCGGTCAACTACTATGGATCAGTGGATGAGCTACATCTGCTGAGCCCTGAAAAGATTTGTTACAAATTTGATCATTTAGATGCACCTCCAGTTTTTTAATATTTTTCTTATACCTCCTGTCTGGAAAAATACTGAATACCCATCCTGACTGAAAATAAAAAAAGGGGATATCCCGCAATTTCAGACCACAAAAATGTTTGTCTGAATTGCCAGCTTACTAGTCTGGGCTGAATATCTCCAGAGTGGTAAAGAAAGAGGTAAAATCAAGGTTAATGCTGAATACTCTGTAAAGTATTAAAATGAGGGTGACTCAAAACAACTGAGAAAAACTTTGTGTAGAGCAAGACCGTGTCTGCAGTGGATGTCTTCATTTCCCATTTTCAGTGTAAATTTACTGCTTAATTCAAGCGTATTGTTGTGAAATATGTTATAGATATTAAGCTAGTTCAAGAAAGATTTTTCAAGTCCATCGTGTTTCTATACCATGCTTTTATATTTCAAATTATTTTGCCTATATACTGTTTTTACATCAAGTGGTGTATACTGAGCCATTCTTTCTTTCTTGTTGGCCTTCTAACCATTACACTTATTTTCTACACTATTTCTTGGTGGCAAATAATCCCTATGAGCTCCAGGAACTACAYTGTTGCTCTTCTCCATATTCTGGTCCAGGATTTGGTACTCTTATACAAGGAGTTYTGATTCCACCCCCAGCATTCACCCGTGGCTTTCTGAAATTGCCTATCTTAATCTCTGTGGGCTACATAGTGCATTTGTGCTATTTATTCCCTGCAAAGGTGTGGTGGCTACATTTACTGGAAATGAGAACAGTTTGAAAAGAGCAGTTATAGTAGAAAGTCTGGGATGTCTGCAAGAAGCTTACATAATATTATAAATTGTAAAATTTTAGGAATGATAGGTCAAAAAGATTAAAAGATCAAATCATGATATCAAAGTTAATAATTTTAGAATTTTTATTGGTTTATGTCGAACATGAAACAAAGGTTTATGTCAAACCTTTGGTAGTCATTGATGTCATTTTTAAAGCCCTTCTCCATGCTCTAGGAGCTGAAATTTTTGATTTTCATACAGCAAAATACAAAATTTCAACAAAATATTTTTTCATACAATGAAAACAGTTGTTCTAACACATCAGTGAGGATAAGCAGGCTAGAGACAAAAAAATAAAAATAGAAGACAAAATGACATTCATATTTCTTGCTGAATGTTTTGCTGCCTTTTTAAAAAAATCTGCATCATATAAAGGATTGTATTTGAAAGATCTGACTGCCTCTGTGGGGAGCTGCAGCAGGTTTTGGCTCACAGGAACACAGACAGAGATTAAGGCATATTGGATAACTTGTACTCTTACTTATCACAGTCTAGCATGCTCCCCAGGATATGCAGTCTTGGGTCATTGCCCTCAGTTACTCACCCCAGAAAAAGTCTGTGGTTGAATACAAGACTGACTCATTACAACAACAGCACTGATTTTCCTGTTCTGAATTACTCATTAAATGCTTTTGTATATATTTAGTGTTCAGTGTTTTGCAACAATAGTTTTTGTGAGCAAATCTCAGGAGCAGCAGGAATTACTCCAGTAAGTAATTAGAGTAGGGATAGAGGCTTTATTACACTGATTACCTTCCTCCCTTCACTCGTAAATTGCTCTGTATATTTTCTGATTGCAAACCTGACCTTGCTAAAATCAATGAAAGAATTCCCATTGACTTCAATAAGCCATGATTTCACCTATTATTTTTATTGCAGGAAACAAAATTTACTAGATTCATTGTGAGCAAGCACCAAGCTTTATCCAAAACCTCCCATTACTTGAAGGCTTTATATTGAGTTTACTGAACTTTAGACATGGCTTTCTTTATAATTAGATAAGAGGAATAGCATTTATTTAACAGGTGATAAGAAGGTCATTGCCTGATGGCTTCAATGGCTTCAAAGAAAATAAATGACCCACAGAAAGGCATTCAATGAAGTAAATTAAAGAACATTAGGGTTTTAAGTCTTTTTAACAATGACTTTATCCTATAATGACTTACATTAATTATAATAAATGATGAAATACTGTATTTTCATTTGAATTTACTTTGTGCATTTGGATTCTCAAATAAATATATTAATCTTTCTTTTGTCTTATTTTGCATTGCAAAAATGAAACAGAAGTCTTTTCTACAGCTTTCACCCCCAYGCACACTCCTTCCACAGTGCATTAGTGTCCCTGTTATGAATTCAGCTGCATCTGCTTTCAGTAAGAATCATTACATTTCACAGGAGTTTTCCGTAATGCAGGATTACTGATGGGATACCTAATAACATTATAAAATTCTCAGAAATAAAACTGTCAGAAGCTTCAGTGTTATTGTTTAATAAACATTCCAGAGGATTACGCATTAAAACTAGCTTTTTCTGGACAATGTTTATTGAATAATCTTCACAGAAACCATCCAAACACTGATAGAACTATTAAAATAGAAACTGCAACTTAGRGGCTAAGTAAATGATAATAGTTTGTGACAGGTGGCTTATAAATGAAACAAGAGCTTTTTCTTTTACTTTGATCAAGTACTGTTGGCCTCATGTAATTACATTGTAAGGACTTCTATGATATCCAGATGACAGGAGGCTCTCAGACGGTGCCTTAATATAAGAATACAGGTTCAAGCAACAGCAGATTGTTTTCTCCCTCCTACCATGCACATACATTGCACAGCACTGGGAGTACCAGTAGTACACTGGAGTACACTGATTGTGTGAGTGCTGCTTTCTCTTGTTTCACTTTGCACAGCTGAAGATGCTCTGGCAATACTGTACAATGCTAACCAAAGAAAATCATTTTCTTTTTTTCCTCATATTTTTTCTGTCTGAAGACCATTACTCCCTTACCACACTGAGAAAGTAACTTAGCAGCCGGATTTAAAGGCACCATATTAAACACTAAAAGCTATACAATATTACAAATAAGCAAACAATTTTAGTGGGAATAAGGTAGAAGAAGTCGTAAAGTATTAACATAGGATTTCTTTGACTTTTGAAGAAGGGGTTAGGCAGGAGTTTTTCATTAAGAAATGTAATCTTATTTGTATGTAGAAAAGGGCCATATTATATTTATTTTTAAAAATTATACAAAATATTTATTCCCAAGACAGACTTCAGAAAGCAACATATTTACAATCTCCCTATACTATATATACAAGTGGTAGGGAGCAACCTGAATACAGAATTCATCCTTCCAATACTTTTGTCATGAAATCAGGGAACATGAATATGGATGGCACATAAAGACCATGATTAATCCCCAGGCATTAACTCACTAATCTGTATCTGGTTTGCAGCAGCCTCACCTGGCTTTAAGCATGATATAGAAAGTGCTCATTAGCCTGAAAAATGCTTGCAGATACTATTTTTCCATATCTAGCRTTGATGGATTTAGCTGGGGGAGGAGGGAGAGAAGGATGTATTGTACCAAATTAAAGAAGGGATCTGTCAGAGGAAGAACTTTCCTCAGATCCCAGTACAATTCCTAGGGAACTGTTTCATCAGTGAAGGTAACAGAAAGCAAGCTAGGAACTCTAAATGTCATCAAACAAGCTGTTTTGAAGACCATTGGTTATAGAAACTCTGTTTTGGATTGTTACTGATTATTGTTTTCTTAACTTTTTTTTTTTTTCTTTGTTCTTTCTTTTCTTAGAGGGTTAGGAAGGGAGGTGA